AGGTTGGGCAATCCTACTTCCGTAGTGATACTGCCTCGGAAACCCAAGGAGGGGTCGCTATGAGTCGGGTTTGACTCGACGGCACATAACAACAATAACAACAACAACAAGCAAAATAAAATTTTATGCTATTAATATATAGATAAGTTAACCACAAAGAAACAAAAGATAGATTAGACTGCATTAAAATTACAAACTTTTGTTCATCAAAAGATAGTATTAAGAGAATATAAAGACAAACCACAGAGTAGGAAAAGTTATTCGCAATACTTATCTGACAAAGGATTCTTTTACATAATATATGAAGAACTTGTAAAAAAGAAAAAAGACAGACCACTCAATGGAATGATAGGCAAAAGACCTAAACAGATACTTCACAAAAGAATTATCCAAACAGTTAATGACCATAGGATGAAATGGGAGCTCTGGTGGCAGAATGCTTAAGCATTTGACTGCTAACCAGAAGGCTGGTGGTTCAAACCCACCAGACACTCCTCAGAAGGATGATTGGGCAATCTACTTCTGTAGTGCTACCGCCTTGGAAACCCAAGGACAAGTCGGTATGAGTTGAATCCAACTCCACGGCATGAGTTTGATTTTGATGATGAAATGCTCAACCTCATTAATCATCAGGGAAATGCAAATTAAGACTGTAATGTGATACCACAACATACTCAGCAGAATGGTTAACGTGAAAGAGAACGCCATCCATATGAGATCAAAAGGGCAGCATTTGCCCAGAGATAAAGCTCAGGGAGGCAGGGATAGGAAAGAAGGACAAACGGAAATAGTAAACATGAGGAGGAAGTACAAAGAGTGCTGCTACATTGTAGGGATCATAATCAATGTCACAAAATAAAATGTGCATGAATTACTGAATGTAAATCCAATTAGCTCTGTAAACTTTCACCCAAATCACAATAAAAAAGTAGAGGGGTGGGTAGAAAGAATGCCAAATCAACTGTTGGAGAGGAGCTGGAAAAACTGCAACTCACAAATTATTGGTGGGAGTAGAAATCAATACAACCACTCTGGACAACTGAACAGTGTGAACAGTTGAACATCTGTATACTCTATGAGTCAGCAATTCTCCTAGGCATATATACAAAATAAATGTGCACATATGTTAACCAAGAGACATACAATAAAATGTTCATATCCGTACTAGTTAAAATAGTTAAAAACTGGAAATACCATCAATGGCCCTCCGCTACAGAATGGATCAATAAATTTTGGAATAGTCATACAACAGAATGTAGACTGCAATGAATAAGCAACCTGTAGCTACATACAAATGCATTTTACAAACATAATGTTCAATGAAAGAAGCCAGACACAAAAGCAAATATTACATGATTATGTCTATGTAAAACACCAAAAGGCAGAGCCAAGCTGTGGTGTCAGAAGCAGAACAGTGGCTACTGTGACAGGGGTAGGACTGTAAGTGGCACAAGAAGGCCTCTGGGTATTGATAATGTTTTGGTTTTCAGGAAGGTGCTACTTCATTCAACAGGTATGTTCATGGTGTGAAAATTCATTAAGATGTACGTTTCAGATTCATGTACTTTTCTGCATATATGTCATTTTTAATAAAACAATTACTTAAACAGCTGTTCTCTGAAATCTGCCATTCAGAGATAACATTTTAGTTATAAAGTACTGAGTTCCAAAAATAGTGTGAACCTGGGGGCGGTACTCACCAGGGCAGACACGAGCAGATGGGTCAGAATGACCGCCAGAAGGGAGAACCACCTTTTCCTCTCACAGCCATCAAAAAACACAATGCCCCAGAAGATGTGCAGCAAAATGACAACCAGCGTCATGAAGGCTGAAAGACAGTCAACCATTAGTGCCCTGTCACAAAGACATCAGACGCCAAAGCTCACAGATACCCTGTCCATTGCTACATACACGTTCTCAGGGTCTGAGAGTTTACACACATCTAACAGGTTGGGCAGTCCTACTTCTGTAATGATACTGCCTCAGAAACCCAAGGAGGGGTCACTATGAGTCAGTACCGACTCGACGGCATATAACAACAAAACATACATAGGGGCCCAGACACACATTCACTCCAATGATCCCCTCTCACAGCTTCTCATCTAGAATGTGAAACAAAAAGCCAACCCGGATCTGGTTTTAAAGCCATTTCCCTGAGGAATGCCATTAAACCATTCTGAAATCTAATCAGCTCCCCACTTCCCTACCCCCTATTAGCCTTTCAAATTCATGAAGACACTTTTTTTCAATTTAAAGGAATATTTTCAGTTTAAAACCAGTCCTCTCACTAAAGTGAAATTTCTCCTTGGAGGTTTTTTTTTTTTAAAAAAAAAAAAAGACAAATGGAAGAATAAGATAATATTAAATATTACAATTTTCAAAGAGAGAAATTGATAGCAGATATTTTGCTTTGATTTTGAGATTTTCTTATCCACGAAACCAAATACTCACTTTAAAGAAATCCCTGGCTGAAATTAATCAGCCAGAAGTTTTTCTTTCACCCAAATTTGCAAGTTCTTTCTTTATTGTTTGAAGCCAATCTTACTGAATTTTAATTTCAAAAAAATATGGCTGGGAGAGGGACAGAGACTATCCAGTGACCTGATCTATTGATCTCCATAAAACTGTGAGGGCAGGGTTCAACCCATTATGTTAACATTGGTTGATCTATATTTCTCCCTTCTTTTCTTTTTATAAGCCTCATGACTTTAATCCATTTGCTTTTTTCTGGAATCAAAATGGACTATCTATATGCCTGGTGCTATAGTGGTTAAGACATCTGGCTGCTAACCAGAATGTCAGTGGTTTGAACCCACCAGCAGGTCCATGGAAGAAAAATAATGCAGTTTGCTTCTGTAAAGATTTATAGCCTTGAAAACCCAATGGAGGTCACTATGAATCAGAATTAACTCAATGGCATGAGTTTGGTTTGGTTTTAGTACATGGTATAAAATAAATGTTCAGAATCAACCTTATATTCAAATTTCATTGAGTTTTAATTTAAAAAATAGTAATAATAATTATGCAAGATTCTTCTGAAGAATCCGATGAGCACACACAGGTTTTCTGCAGAATACTGCCTTGTCTACTTTGTGTGTATCCTGGCCCAGATGCCATTAGAGTGCAAAAGTTCCATATTTCTTCAAGTTTTAATATGAAAACAAGTAAAAATAAGAACACAACATTTTCCATTTTTGACCACACAAGCTACCATTAGCCCTGACCAGACTGTTAAAAGTCGAAGTCTGAAAATTCTCTTTCTCACTGCTGGCAGGAAAACAATCTAGCATGACCTAGTCAAGTTGAAAGTCTGTATTCTCTATTTTACACCAGCAATGCCACAGCTAGCAGTATACTCTGAGGCAGTTTGTTCTCAATTAATAGATCATTATCACCTGACAACTTGTTAGAAATGCAAATTCCCAGCATCCTCCCAGACTTCCTGAATCAGAAACAATGTTGGTGGGTCAGGCTGTCAGGGTTTAAACAAACCCTCAGGTGATCCTGATGCACTCCAATTTGAGAACCACTGCTCTAGAGAAACTCTTACAGATGGCATCACTAAAAGAATATGTACACCTTCGTTGTATTTAATAACAAAATCTGCAAACATCCCAAACGTCCATCAACACCAGAATAGATAAACTATAGTGTATTCATACAACGGAGTACTATGTGATATACAATATACATGATCTCAAGAAGATAAATTTAAGTGTGGAAAAAATGAGGAGACCAGATTTACTGGTTTGATACAGACGAGTAGAACCCCCAAAGATATGGCCCTTAAAAAATAAACCAAACTCAGCGCCATTGAGTTGATTCCAACTCATGGCCCTTAGACCCTCTTTAAGTCTGGAAATGAACTCACCTCCGTGGCTCAACTTTCAGCCAACCAGACAGGCCTATAACGTGAACAATATACCAGGGAGGTTTGTACTCCTTAGAACAATCAATCATGTGAGATCAAAAGGGCAGCATTTGCCCAGGGGTAAAACTCAGAGGGCAGAAATGGATAGGAAAGAAAGACAAATGGAAATGGTAACCACGGGAGGGAAGTGGGAAGAGGACCGTTTGTTACATTGTGGGGACAGCATTCAATGTCATGAAACAAAATGTATATGAACAGTTGAATGGAAAACTAATTTGCTCTGTCAATTTTCACTCAAATCACAATAAAAGTCTTTTAAAAAATAACATGTAAAAATGCATATGTTAACTGAAAAATTTAAAATAAGCTTGTGGCTAAAAAAAATGATAGCAATGGCAGTTACAAATAATGTATGTTGTTATTAGGTGCCCGAGTTGGCTCTGACTCATAGTACAACAGGATGAAACATCCCTGGTCCTGCACCAGCCTCACACAATCCTTGCCATACCTGAGTCCATTGTTGCAGCCACTGTGTCAGTCCATCTCATTGAGGGCCTTTCCTGTTTTTGCTGACCCTCCACTTTACCAAGCATGATATCCTTCCCCAGGGAACAGACCCTTCTAATAACATGACCAAAGGTGAGACAAAGTCTGGCCATTCTTGCTTCCAAGGAGCATTCTGGCTGCATTTCTTCTGTTAGATCTTCTGGCAGTCCATGGGACTTTCAGTATTCTTCACCAACACCACAACTCAAAAGTATCAACTATTCTTCAGTCTTCCCTATTTATTGTTCAGGTTTCACATGCATATGAGGCAGCTGAAAACACTATGGCTTGGGTTAGGCCCACCAAAGAGCAAAGAGACATCTTTGCTCTTTAGCACGTGAAAGAGGTCTTTTGCACCATTTGCCCAGCGCAATACATCGTCTGATGTCTTGACTGCTGCTGCCACTGGTGTTGATTGTGGAACCAAGTAATACGAAATCTCTAACAACTTCAATCTTTTCTCCATTTATTGTGATGCTGCTTATTGGCCCAGTTGTGAGGATTTTCGTTTTCTTTATGTTGAGGTATAATCCATACTGCAGGCAGTAGTCTTTAATCCTCATCAGTAAGTGCTTCAAGTCATCCTCACTTTCAGCAAAGTTGTGTCATCTGCGTATTGCAGGTTGTTAATGAGTCTCCCTCCAATCCTGATGCCTCATTCTTCTTCTTATAGTCCAGCTTCTTATATTATTTGTTCAGCATACAGATTGAATTAAGTATGGTGAAAGGATACAACCCTGACACACTCCCTTTCTGATTTTAAACCACGAAGTATCCCCTTGTTCTGTTCAAACAACAGCCTCCTGGTCTATGTACAGGTTCCTCATGAGCACAATTAAGTGTTCTGAAATGCTCATTATTCTCCACGTTATCCACAATTTGTTATGATCCACACAATTGAATGCTTCTGCATAGTCAATAAAACACAAGTAAACATCCTTCTGGTATTTTTTGCTTTCAGCCAAGATCCATCTGACATCAGCAATGATATCCCTCATTCCACGTCCTTTTCTGAGTCCAGCTTGCATTTCTGGAAGTTCCCTGTCAGTATCCTGCTATAACCATTTTTTAATTATCTTCACCAAGATTTTACTTGCTTTTACAACATTTTAAAGTATGATAAAACTTAATTTCTTAACTGTATAATTCAACATTTATACTCCAGTGCAGTGCCTAAGGCACTTGACTGCTAAAAAACCCACTAGCCAGTCCTCGGAAGGAAGGTTCAGTAATCTACTTCTGTAGTGATACCGCCTCAGAAACCCAAAAAGGGGTTGCTATGCGTCGGGTCCGACTAGATGGCACATAACCATAACTCCTCCAAAGAATGATGTTATTATAAATAAACCTTGCACACAATAAAAAGTCATTCTGTAGGGACATATTCATAGCATGGTCAGTCTGCCATCCTAACATGGCTAAAGACTTTAGAGTATTTTACTTTCTTTGAATTTCCCCTTGAGTTTGAAGTAAATACAAATTCAATCCCAAATAGCCAGCACATCTTTTACTTTCTTCCCAAAGAATCGTTTAAGCTAACTTCTTATGAAAACAGCCCATCTCACTAAAAGGAATTAGCACCATCTAGTGAAAAAAGCTGACAAAAAATTAGTAGGTGCCCTGGTGGTACCGTGGTTAAGTTCTTGGTTGCTAACCAGAAGGTATGTGGTTTCAACTCACAAGTCTCCATGAAGGAAGATGTAGCAGTCTGCTTCTGTATACAGTACAACCTTAGAAACCCTATGGGACAGTTTACTTTGTCCCATTAGATTTGTGGGGGGGCGGGGACCAGTTGCCAAAGAGTTTATTTGACTCATGGTGACCCCATGTGTGTCAGAGCAGATCTGTGATCCACAGGGTTTTTAATGGCTGATTTTTCAGAGACAGATCATCAGGCCTTTCTTCTAAGACACCTCTGGGTGGACTCAACCTCCAACCTTTCAGTTAGAAGCTGAGCATGTGAACTGTTTGCACCACCCAGGGACATGTTCTTTTAGGAGAATGCTAACTCCCCCCCCACACACACACACACAAAACTGCTTATCCAGTAGTGTGATAAATGAATTTAAGAACATGAAAACTATAGCAGCAATACTTGCTTATAACTGTTTAATTTATTTAAAAAAATTGTAGAAGACTATAATAGCTTCTAATAGCTACTAATATTCCATTTGTTTTTAAAAAAACTAACACTTCTTTTATAATCATTAAAAAAAATCTGCCAGATATATTCTAATCACGAATGTTGAAAAGGAAGGTAATTTGCTGTGTTGGAGGTACCGCTAAATGTTGTTGTTGTTGTTGTTTGCCGTCAAGTCGGCCCTGACTCATAGCAACCCCTCCTTGGGTTTCCGAGGCAGTATCACTACGGAAGTAGGATTGCCCAACCTTCCTTCCGAGGAGTGGCTGGTGGGTTTGAACCGCCAGCCTTCTGGTGAGCAGTCAAGTGCCCTAGGCACTATGCTATCCATTAATGTACTTTCCTATTGTCTAATTTGTTGCCAGATTACAAAGCACTTTCCTATAGGCCATGGAAAGCTATTAAACATTTCTGAATAGGGAAGATGAGTTTGATAGCTGCATACATGATGGAATCACATGAAAAGTGTGTCAAGGAAAGAAGAGTGGCCAGTTAGGGGTGGAAGGTGGTAATCTAGACAGGAGATGACAAGGCCTGGAGAGAAATGGAAACAAAGGGTCTGCTAAGAATGGAGAACTTGTGTACACTAGAAGACCTCTACAGCACAGAGGATGCCTTTGGACCATTGAGCAATTATCATCTACACAATTTATTTTAAAATTGGTCCTATTTCCTTATATCTTTTCTATTGTTATTTTAAACTGTTATTGAAACTCTGATTCACTTTATTCTTTTACACATATATCTTATTCCACCTACCAGATAGAGAGTATGATCCTTAAGAAATTACTTTAGTATGTTGTTGTTGTTGTTGTTGTTAAGTGCCGTTGAGTCCTTTCAGACTCATAGCGACCCCATGCACAGCAGAACGAAACACTGCCCGATCCCGCGCCAGCCCCACAATCCCTGCTACACTTGAGCCCATCGTCGCAACCACCGTATCAATCCATCTCGTTGAAGGACTCCCCCTCTTTCGTCAATCCTCCACCCTACCAAGCATGACATCCTTCTCCAGGGAATGGTCCCTTCTGACAACATGACCAAAATAGGTGAGATG